GTAGACGATCGAGATTCAACGACTGGATTCGAGAAACGTGAACGCCGAGTTCGCGATGTATTCCCGAACACTTAATACAATGCAGCGTGCCAAAATTAGTCGATAGCCAGGTGACCTCTGAAACAGTAAATTTTAACGGCGAAGACCTCACAGACCAGCAGGATCCAGCCACAGCCAACGCTGCGGTGAGTACCTTTGTCAGACATGCAATCGCAACATCGATCATTTCCAGGGAGTGAGCGGATTTTCTCGATGGCCAATTTCTGTATACGTTCACCGCTGACGGCATCGTCACTGAATGCCTCATGCTGAACTTGCTCTTTGACGCGGTTCAACATGCTGAACCATCTAAATAATGCCAACAATAGCTATCAGTTGCTCAGAAAACGTAAATGACAAAATTACTAATGGGGGTTATCGTTATGAAAGCTCTAAATCTAACGTCTGCTCACCAGAAAACCCACTGCTATATTTTGCAGCATCGGGTACGGTCAAAGTACGCAGCAAACTACGGCGAAATAGATTACTTTTTAGTGCCTGCTCCGACATGAGCCATAACTACCCATTAGAATGAGGGACTCCCATAGTATAGAGCACTCACTTCGTATAGAGCAAAGTAAACTTCCTCAAGAAAACACTCTCTCCACGCTGGACGCATGGACCTGTAACAAGGTCAACGCTTTAGTCTACTGTAGCCTCAGTAGGATGATAGCCACTCCTCCGCTGACAGCCTTCCATCAATAATTCTATCCGCCTGGTTGGGTTCTACCAGAACAAAAACACTGGCCTGATCGCGGATCGCGGTGTCGGCACCTAAGTAGAATGGCTTCCACCTGCTGAAATTCCGAATTCCAGAGTCCTGGTACTTCGCTGAAGAGATTCAAACTATGCCCGGTCAGTATCCTGCGACTTCACCTATCAGTATCCTTCACTTTACACGTCACTAGTTCATGCACTTTCCCTCTAAGTGAGAAAATGTTCCAATTGTCGACTGTGAGCTCCAACTG